CCCCAAAACCCCAAAACCCCAAAACCCCAAAACCCCAAAACCCCGTTTTTAACCAAGAATATTGAAGCCTTTTAATTACTAATTATCATTTGCTTAATGTTCAACAGATCTGCCCACTTTGCTTCAAAGCGCCTCTCAACTCTCAGCAAAGCTGCATTCAGTTCTTGCGGAGGAAGAGATGTTGGCTTCATCGGCCTCGGAAACATGGGAATCCACATGGTCAGACACTGCATCAACAATGGAAACAACCTCACTGTGTTCGATGTCAACGAGAAAGTCCTCCAACAAGCAGAACAGATGGGAGCCAAAGTGGCCACCAGTGTCAAAGAAGTCGCTCAAGGACGAGATGTCGTCATGACAATTGTCCCCAACACCGAGATTGTCCAAGAACTCAGACTCGGAACTGACGGAATTTTTGAGAACGCAAGGGAAGGAGCACTCATCATCGACTCTAGTACAATATCGCCAACAGCATCTGCAGAAATGTCGGAGCACGGAGAAAAGATCGGACTCAGAGTCGTGGACGCCCCTGTGTGTGGAGCTCAGCCAGGAGCCATGGCAGGAACTCTCACATTCTTGGTCGGGTGCAAAGACGAATACTTCGAAGACTGCAAGTCATTTCTTCCATCAATGGGTAAGAAGATCTACCACACAGGAGCCCCAGGAACAGGACAAGTAGCAAAGATTTGCAACAATTTGATGTTGGCAATTCAGATGGTCGCAGTTTCGGAGGGGATATCTCTTGGAGAGAAGTTAGGACTTGACCCAAAGATCTTAGAGCAAGTAATAGGAGATAGTACAGCTGCTTGTTGGGCAATGAATTTATACAATCCAAAACCAGGAGTAAAAGAGAACGTTCCTTCTGCAAATGAGTACAATGGAGGATTCGCAACTTCCTTAATGAAGAAAGACTTGAATCTAGCTCTTGATGGGGCATCAAGTGTTGACTTACACCTAGGATTTGTTTCAAAAGCAAAAGAGTACCTAACAGAAGTAGAAAAGTAAGTTTAGCTAAGATATCCTTTCGATTTCCATTCTAAAATTTCCCTATCTTCATTTATCTTAATACCAATTTAGACTCGGAAAGGGAGAGAAAGATTTTGGATATGTTTACCAATATGTCAAGGACTTGAAGTCCTAACTCCAAGCTGTTAACGTGGCAGTAATAACAAGAAAGGCCGATAAATCCATATACGCTTATTCTCAATCATTTCTTTATTTTAAGGGGTTTTGGGGTTTTGGGGTTTTGGGGTTTTGGGGTTTTGGGG